GGCACCTACAGCGTGTATACAGTAGAACCATACATGATTCATGTTGTGAGTCCTCACGATGAGTCGCTGACTTTAAATTTCATTGTAAACAGTACATCCTATAATACATGTGTGCTGGGATTTGCTTCCCCACAGACTGTTTGTCAAAGCACGCTTTGGTGAAACATAATAGCGACACTGCGTACTTCTGTGTGGGCCTACACATACAACAAGATCCATGTGTATTTGTACAGCAGTGCATTGTTTGCGATACACGCTCCGCCGCCAGTCTTATCACTTCTTTAGCTGAGAGATGACACAGAGATTAGGTCAAGTGTTGCTTTCCTTGGGCTTTCTCAGCTCTATCAAAAGAGCCTTTGACAGTATTGTCTTAGCATATGGGAACACAAGCATTTTACTGAGCAGAGTAATGATTTTGCATAAGTGCATACATACTGTGCAGCGAGTATAAGTGACGTTTTCGCTGCTCTCCACCAGGAGACTACAGTATATTGAGTGGCAGCAGTATAATGGTTGTACAAGAGTCACCAGCTTGACTTTGAAATATGTTTCCCCAGATGGGAAATGTGTACTGGAGAGGTGAACAAGACACTCTTGCACCTCCTGTAACAACTACCATCAACATGTTTTAGATAAAGTGTTAAAAGGATATTTTCAGTGTTACTGAGTTTCACTTTTATTTCAGGAAAAACTCACAAAGCTGTACGGCAGGTTTTCTTAATTTCCTGCAAGTGTGGCTTGAATATGTATGAGACGTGTGCAGAGACATTCAGCATACAGCTAATTATTACATATAACTGGACTATTTATTTCTCTTCTATGCCATTTTTCAGCAAGCACAACTTGGCAAAACAATACTTAAGGCACAGCGAAACTAGTCTTTATATGTCTTCAGTTATTGTCAAGGTCTAAATATAAGTTTTGGAAAACTGCAATACACATGCAGTTAAAAAAAACACAACAGTGAGGCAGCAGTTTGTCTCTTTGAGGTGTTTTTAATGTCTTCTTAAAAACAACAAAGAGAAATCTCTTTTAGGATCTGATCTGAAGGTCGAGTGGGGGCACATCTGGTCCCAGATGCAGAACACTTCCCCATTCGGCTCGACCGAAACAATGACTGCTAATGATACTTGTAAAAGTTTGCCCAAAAGAAAAATACAGCGCTGATGATGGTGGAGTTTGTGCGTGTGAATGCAGCCTGTTGAAAAAATAAAGTCTTGATGAATCACTGTCCTCTGAACTTCTCTGAAACGACTGCATAATTGACTATTGCAAAAGCAGTCCGGAGATACACACATGCAAGCACACACACACACACACACACACACACACACACACAAACACCCTGTAGAGAATACAGTGCCTGCTGTACCCCACCGTACTCTATTAGTGTATTGCTTTACCAGTCTACTGTTGCAGTCCTAGTGTAATGGAATACCACCACACTCTCTGTCTTTCTGCACGTCCCTGTGTACACGTGTGCATGTGTGTGTATTTGTCTATATGGAGCTGTCTTTCCATCTTATCTCCTTTGAAAAGGCAGCCACAGGTGGGAAACATTCTGCAGTTACATAAATACATCTTAAATGACTCTATAGGAAACACTTTCTCTGACGACCCTTACACTCATGACTGCACTCAAAAACACACAGTACTTTCTGATGTACCAGATCAACAGTCATAAAACATTATAGATGTGACTGAAGATGAATCATAAGATCAACTTGAGGTTGAGTGAGTACATTATGCCTGCCCATGCTGATCTATACTCGGCTCAACAATCAACCAGAGCAAAGACTCATGGTATGCTATAATAATCCATACTGTATCATAAGTTATCATTGCATGTGTTCATTCAAGTAAAGTGAAGTACATATTGATGCATCTCTAATAATGGATGCTTCATCATTTCATTGTTGGTGTTAAAGTGTAATGCATTTTCATACATTTAAAAGACTGTGCTGCATCATAAGTGATTATCATGTCAGGAGGTTTAGAAACCATGCAGAGAATTACAAGTAAGATTTGTCTTGGAACCTTAAGGTATAAAACCTCTATGATACTTAAAGACAAAATACATTCAGTCTAGCTTTATCATCACTGTGGGATGAAAGCAATGAGTTGAGGTGTTCTAACAGACCACCAACAACTGTGTGCAGCTACAATATACACTGTACGGTTTTATACCTTTAGGTTTCATTCCAAAATCCGACAATTTTTACTTGTAATTCTCAGCAACATTTTGACATCACATAATAACGACTTGTATTGCCACATAGATTTTTCGAAAGGCATGACAATGCAAAAAGGAGGCACGGTGATGCAGTGTTTAGCAAGAGGTTTCCTGGTTCGAACCCAGGGTGGGGAGCCCTTCTTTGCGGGGTACTCCGGCTTCCTCCTCCCACAGTCCAAAGACATGCAGATTAGGTTAACTAGTGACTCTAAAACCTAGTTCACATTACATGATTTTCACCCTGATTTTGCGTTGCAGAGACTATTGTAATATTTGAGTGTTCATACCTGGCAACTTGTGTTTCTGTCAGCGGGAGTCTCGCGTTACGACCTGTGTGTGCACACCACAAGATTTCTCCACCGAGCCCTCGCCGACAGAGCCCCAGATAATGCGGCGACGTCACCAAACTTGGAGACGACACATCATAAAGGCATGGATATTCTTTATTATCCTGGGTCCAAACACACACTGACATCTTTGTCAGTCGTGTCAGCCTTCTCCAGTTTTCTAGCATGCCAGATATCCAGTCCCAGTCTCAGACGAGGGGGCGACTTGCTCGTAGGCTTGTTCACACATGAGGACTCGTCGTGGCAGACTATCTGCCAACTCACCTCCGACCCAAGGTGGCTCTCAAGATCCTCTGGGACGTCAAATCGCAGTGAAAATCGTGTAATGTGAACTAGGCTTAAATTGCCCATAGGTGTGAATGTGAGCGTAAATGGTTGTCTGTCTCTATGTGTCAGCCCTGTGATAGTCTGGCGACCTGTCCAGGGTGTACCCGACCTCTTGCCCTCAGCTTGGATAGGCTCCAGCACCCCTGCGACCCCCAAAGGGATAAGCGGTTACGGAAAATGATTGAATGAATGATAATGCATTTCACTTAAAGCGACACTTTGCTGATTTTCAACCAGCTATGTATCAGGACAATGTGGGTAGTATGTGTTAATGAAGTGTGGTAAACTTGTCTCTGTCTAACCACTGCCTAGGTATCCCTTCTCACCCCCTAGCCAAACTCCGCTGGGTGACGTGATGTCGTTCGGTGGGGGCTGCTGCTTGAACCAGGCTGTACTTCTGCATTTTTGTATTGCCCGCCACCCATGCCGCCACCATGGACAGAAAGAGAAGCAGATCAAGATAAAGACCAAACTCTGACCGAAATCCGATCAAACGGTAACACTTCTGATCAACTATATATCAAGATTACGTTGCTGTATTGCCTATTTCTCACCTACAGTGTTTCTAGAAACACATTTTTGTGCTGTGGAAAGGAAGTGGGCACCATACTGTTTCCTGCACAGTGAAAACAAGAGGCCAAAAAAACTGATCAAACAGTAACACTAAGAAGCACTGATCAAATAAAAACAAGATTCTGTTGCTGAGTTGCATATTTCTCGCCTCGAATGTACTTGTAACTGTAATGCCAAATCATTTCTTGTCACCAGGCCGCCATTGTTTTAAATGAACGTGTTCGCATTACATCATCCACTAGTGGGGGCATTGGTGCAGTGCATTCTGGTAGTTGTCGGTTTTCTCCTTCTGTAGCCCCAACTTCAAAGGTATTTGCGTCTTTCTACTGCATAGACATTCTAGTTTTATTAAAAGGACATCTTTCCAGCAGTGAAATATTCATTTAAGACCAACAATGACACATATTCATATAATGAAGCATGCATCACCTCACTTTACATAACACATACAGTGATAACTGAGGATACTGCGTGGACTATTACAGCACACTGTGAGTCCTTACTTCAGTTGATTGTTGAGCTGGTGAGTATAGGCAGTCATCATGTATTACAAGACCCATCAGTCAACCTCAACTTAACAACAAGCCAACAGCATCCTTAAGACACTTGATCTTATGATTCATAATGAGTCACATCTATAATGTCTGTTGAGCAGTGCATCCGAGCAAGCATTATGTGTTTATGGGTGTCGTCATAAATCATCATGAATGTCTTATCATGCACTATAAATGCCCTTATAACACACTATAGATGTCGTCTTCATAGAAAGTGTTAACATACTTTCTAAATCGTAATCCTATGACTCCTACAGCAGGTGCTACTGTGGCTTTATTCCTATATAACCAGGTTCATGAAGTAGACTTTATTCTGCCAGATAAATGACAGGCAATGATAGATTTTGTTAATGAGGATACTGTACAGCAGCAGAGGGCATTTTTCCCTTCATCATTAATCCCACATAATGTTGGAGTGTTGCTTTTATTCACCCCAGTGAGCCGATTTGTTGCAGCGGAGGTTTTCATTAAACAGATTAGCCTGCTGCCAAACGTTAGCCGAGGTAACCGCGATTGGAGATGGAAATTACAGATACGAATGTGAAAATATGCCTCACAGTTTTAGCAACGGCAAACATTTGAATTTAATTTCAAAGCTTGGGGAGCATTGCTGGAAATTAAGCAAAAAAATGTCTGAGCACAGTAATATCAAGTGTGGGGGTGGATGTGTGGCCCTGCTGAAATTCAAATTTAAATTTTACACTGGCCCTGGTGTAGCATGCAGGTGTATTTGCTCAGGCTGGACATTAAAATTGCATGTATTCTCAGTGAACCAGCCACAAACTTTACAGTGTGTCAGTGTTGTGGGTTGTATTTTAATCTCTTCAAACAAGAGCTGAAATAAGAAGTACAATGTTTTATTTTAGTATAGAATAATGAGGGTGAAGGTAAGCTGCATATGCTGAGACAGAGAGGGAGAGAGATGGGAAAAAAACAACACAATAAAAGAAGACTTTTAAGAAGTTGTACAAGTAACACAATTTTATTGTTTCTTTGATTGCACCATACAAGATTGACATCAAAGATAAAAAACATCTTTCATTTTACAAGTGAGCATTGTAGTAACGTTAAATATCCCATTACAAAACTTCTTTCTCCCTACAGAAAATGTAAAAAACAAATAAAAGAAAGAAAGAAAAAGTACAGCCACACATCTCTAAAATAGTACTGAGTAACACAGAGCTGGATTATTTGGCAGCGACTGTCTAACTTGATCCACTGGGAGTGACAGACGATGCATTTGGCACTGTCATTGGTCCACAACAGGTCGCAGTGAGGCTCCTGCCAGGTGGCAGAGGGAGACATACATTGCATTGTGACAAATAAACAACCCTAGAGTATTCCCAAGGAGGAGACAGCAAGATGAAGGAGGACCCTACTGTGCCTTATTCCGCTTGCCCGTGCTCATTCTTTTGTCCTGAACCACACGTGTGTTTGCATGAGCTCATGCAAACCGTCTCATAAGTAATGGAAATAATGTCATTGGTGAGTAAACAATATTGTTTGTACAGAGTTTGCGAATAGGACGAGAAAATGTGTGTGTTTTTTCAACGTGTTACACAAAGTGGAAAGCATCAACATCAAGTGAATACATGTGATAATCATTAATTCCCTGGAAAAATACATCGCCATCAATTGCTTTGGAATTTCTTTCCCACAAAGAGTGTTTACAGTACTGCAGCATCCAAAAATAAAAGAAAACAGTTACATTCAAGCATTTCCATTGCTGTGCTTTTGGAGTGATAGCAACATTGTGAACACCTTTGGAGTTCTCCATCCCATTAACCCACTGGCTGAGGCTCCACATTCAGGGGCACGTATTGTCCAGTGTGGCGTTTTTTTGAATCACTGGGATGCGTGAAGCTGGGTGTGCGTCTGTACATCAGTGCGTGAGGATTACCTGACAGTAGGTGTGGTCGTTAGACGCAGGTGGCCAGGCTTGCTGGGGAGAGGGGGTTTGATGCCACGACTGGGGGTCTGGGTGGGGGTTGTAGTGCTTTCGACGCTGAAGTTTTTCATCAGCTGAGCAACCCGGCCACGCCCTGCACAGGTTGGTGTGCTCCCTGATGAACCGGCCTCCTCTGAGGCAGCCCTCCGAGACACTTCTGAAGCACCAGCGCCTGAGAAAACAGAAGGTCGGATTTCAATGAGAGCTCTAACATGGGTGACAACCTGACAACAATACACAGAGGGGAGATTCATTTAAATGTTTGAAAAAATAAAAGAAAAAATATGACTGTGAAAATGAATAAAATTTAGATTTAGAGTTTGGAGTTTATATTTTGAATATTTCAAAATTGGCTGACAATTGGATGTAAAAACTTAAAATAAAAAATAAAATAAATTGTAATAAAAAACTGTACACAATATATTTTGGGGTTATTTTAGTTACTTAAGTCACCATACTAATTTATGTTGCTACAGAACACTGTGAAAGATGTACAGTAAATTGTAGCTGAAATAATTCCACATTGTTATTTTGGACTTACAGAAATAATTCATATTATTACATATAACAATTATTCCTTTATCATTCACTCTGGCACTTTAAGTATTATTTTACTTATGTATATTCATGTGTACCTTTAAGTTGCTATTTCATGCCCCCTTTGTCTCAGGTGAGAGTAAGAATAACTATAGTTCCTACCTGACGTTGTTTCACTAGGGACAGGTGTTAGTGTGACAGACTCAGGTTAACATGTGCTACAGATGAGTTAAAAGTGAAGCTGGATTTACGCTGTATTTTGGTGTGAATTAAAGAGGATAAATTATTACCCACAAGCCAGAAGGACTGGAATATGCTACCAAAACAAGGAAGTAAGGTTTCAGTGCCATTCGCAGAATCTTTAATACCTAAATTTATTTAAATAAAAATAGACTTTAACTTGTTTTTGTAACTTTATTTGTAACAGCATTTGCAGTTTCCTTGCTTTAAGTGCTATTCTCTGCATTTGCCATAAACTGTACGATCTTGAAATAAACTTTTTTTACTTCCTTAGAGGGATTTTAGCACATAATCATGGCTTCATTTGCATTTTCTCTTCGTTTGTCTCCACATTGTGCATTACAGGACGATTTTCTGGGCTGTGGCCGTCTCCAGGGGACCTTGTTTACTGTAAACTACAGCGGCCAGTGTCTTGTTGCAGCTGGAAACACAACACCTTTTGGGAGCTTGAGAACACAAAATCCAGGTGAAAATCAGTTTAAAACCAATAAACACCAACCCATGTACGGTATTGTTGCTAAAGCAAGACTCCAGTCTTCTCACACTCCCCACTATCATTTCCTCTCTCCAAGTACCGTGCCTGCATTTTTCCTCACACTTTTCTACCTGCTTTTTTCTCCTTTTCATTCGCCTCCCTTTATCCCACTCTGGCTGAGCAGAGGTCATCCTCAGTGGAAGTGTAGTAGGGACACAGCTGGGTGTAGTCGGTGTGTGTGTGTGTGTGCGCTTGCTGAGGTACTGTGTTTGGAAGAGGGTGTAATTGAGGGAGGAATGGAGGGAACAGGAGTAACGGAGGGGAGGGAGGGCCACAGGGACGGCAATGGAGAGCAGACAGACGCTGCTCAGACACCAGAAGGCTTGAGGAGCCACATATTTTTAGCGTCATCCCCGGGGGACAGAGATATGTGAGAGCGCCCGCGTGCGCAGCTACAGACGCACACGAGCTTACACACACACGCACACAAAATAAAGTGAAAACATGCACAGGCATACACACAGTTTCTAACAGTTGAATTTCAAAAGACACACGCACGTTCTCATGTTACACTCAGGCCAGACACACACACACACACACACACACACACATACACAAACACAAACATGCACCTTTGCACAGCCCTCCTGCTCATGGATTCAGTCACGCATGCAGCCATCTCTGACTATAACACACACACACACACACACACACACACAGAGGTGGGGTACAGCCAAAACCGCACAGGCACTCCCGGGGCCAGCAAACCTTTAAAGCTCTTGATGTCTTGCAGCCATGAAAGTGGGAGACCTAAAGTTGCCTTTAAGCTTGTGTTATTGTTTATTGTTGTTTACTCTCCTTCCTCTCCTCGCTCTCACTCTCTCTTCTCCCTCTCCCTGTGGCTCCAACACCTCCCTCCACCTCCCTCTTCATCTTCCTCTTCCCCCTGTCTTGCCCTGCCTTCCTCTGCCCCCTGACCTGCAGTTCCTGTGTTAATGTCCTCTCGCCGCGCTGCGTGGGCTTGCCTCTGATTGTCTCGTTGTGTTGTGTGGTCACCACGGAAACCTTGGATAGGCTCCAGCAATTGAGGCTGACACACATTCAGGCACGCACCGAGCACACACGTAGTCACACACACACACACACACACACACACACACACATACACAGAGACACAGGCGCATACACACTCATGGTCAGAGAGTTTTTTGAGCTCAGAGCCTTGGTGCAGGTCTGAGTGGAATGCTTAATAGAGAGACAGAGAGATAGAAAGAGAAGGAGAGGGAGAACTGGTGGTGTGAGCGTGGACTGGAAAGAAATAATACAAATATATATACACATAACCTTATTTTTCTTGAAGCCAAACCCAAAGACCCTCCCACAGGTAACCTGACTAACCTGTCTTAACACACCCAACAAAAAAAAAAAAGCTTAAATCCCACGCCTTTCTGCCTGAAACTCTCCACAGCAGCTGCACTCTTCGCCCCGTCAGCAGAAACAGTCATTAAAGCTACCTGTGAAAACACCTATTAAAATGAAAGAGAATCTCCGCATTAAATCACTCGTCGAGATTGATTAATCTCCCATTTGAGCTTTCCAACGCCACTCCTCACATCTCAGTCCAGCTCGTAAATGTACAGGGAGGACAAAGAGGAGGGGGCGGGAAGCGGTGTCACTGACCAGGCTAGCACAAAAATTAAAGACCAATCTATCTCTTTAAAGACCTCCACGTCTCTGGCAGAAAGAGAGGAGAGGAGGGGGGTGTCGGGTGAGGAGGTGGGGGGCAGAAGTGGGGCAGAGGGCAGAATTCCCGAGCAGCATGTCTGTGGACTGAAGGGCAGGGAGGAGAGGTGGTGTGTGTGTGTGTGTGTGTAGAAGCAAGGGGGGGTGGCCCTCCTGCGTGGGGGCTGGGGCCCCTGTCACTTATCAGCTCTGGCTGAGCGTCGCCCAGGGCTAGAGTCGGGAAGCAGCGCTGGAATGTGTGTCCTTCCCTCTGAAGGTGAAGAGAGAGGAGAGGAAAGCCGACCGACAGACAGAGAAGGGTTTATAAACACGAACACACGCATACACACATGAACACATACCGCCAGCTGCTGGAGATTGATTCACTTTAATGCTCACGCACATATGCTAAAATCATATAACACACACCTACACTGACTCTACATGCTACCCCATTATCTGATATAATATGTCCATTCACATTCGTTTTTATGCAGATGATACATAACTTACAGAGCTTTTAGTTATCAGTTAGCTACGTCAGTTTTTACAGATCTTAAAGGAAAAATACTAAGTTGTTTTTAGAAGGAGTAGGTTCAAACAGATTTTCACCCCTCTGCTCTAAACAGTTATCTCTCCTGCTGAGGGATGACACTAATCAGTGCAGTTTGCAGTAAATTAGGTCCTCTTGTGACATTGACAGCCCAGAAAAATGCTTCAGGTAAAACACACTGAAGAGAAAAATTGTGCAAAAGAGGGATTAGTAATTCACAAATCATTTGCACTAAATAAATAAACACTTTTCCTGCTTAAAATGCATTATGTTAATGTTTTCCACACTGATTTCTTAAACTCTTTATTTTTTAAATCTAATTTTTACCTGGCTGTAATCAAAACATCTTTAATAATCCATTAGGATAAAAAATAAACATAATAATTTCTCATTTTGAAATATCTTGAATCCTGTGTTTCAGACAACAATAAAGTAGATCACTGCAGATGAAATTAAAAGCGTATTCTATCCCCTAATAATCAAAATACTCACATCACTTTCCTGACATCTGACTCTACATCCTGACAATATCCAGAACTCAACTTTCAACCTGATGATACATTTGACGCTGCCCTCTCCAACACAGTCTCTCTACCTCTCTACCTCTCTCTAACACTGATGCTCTAGGTGCCCCTCCAGAATCAGCTTTGGACGCTCAGGGACAATGTGGCCATTTTACACTCATTTTTATTTTATATTTTTAGGTTTACTTGCTTTGGTTTAGACAATGAAAGTATGTTGTCAGGTTTAGAAGAAAACATCATGGTTTGACTTAAAATAACTATTTTTCTTAACGTAATGTAATGTCATGTGACATACGTCATGTGTGACATAGCCTATGTCAATAACGTAGTATGCTACACATATTAGAACTGTGGTTCCCAACTGGTGGATCGCGATCCAAAAGTGGGTCGTGGGTCCATTCTGAATGGACCTCAAGTGACTCACAAACATGTCAACTTTATTTTATAGTAAAGTGAATTTCTAGCACAGAGCTTTTATTTTGAAGTGCCGTTTTCTGCTGTAGAGTGAGTGACTAACAGACAGCTACGTGACAGAGACAGCAAACTAGCTTGACGACATGGCCAGATGCAAGTATGACGCTGAGTGTATTAAACTGTGTGGACCTTGGACAAATGACTAAGGACAAATCTGGTACCCATGGACAGACCAGTTGGGAATCACTGTATTACATTGTTAGTAAAATAACTCAACTGACTATTGGTTTCACGGGAAACATGAACAGCGGAAAGTCCGGAGTTTGTTCCACTCATCCACCTCCCTCCCTATGCAGACTTTCTCACTCTATATCTCACGCCAACAGAACGGACAATGACCAATTGTTGGTATTTGATGAGTTGAGAGTGAGGCCGGGTTGTCATCTCTGGTTTAAAATAGAGATTAAAAATTTGTTTTTGTCACGGCAATCTCATGGATTTGATGCCAGGAATGTCCTTCCTTTGTTTAATTAATATTTGTTGGACTATAGCCACACCGCGAGCCATTGTTTTGTTACTGTATGTAATGTTTGTACTCCATAGCATGTGATATAGTTGTGAGTCAAATTAATGAAATGAAATGAGAACAACTTATGTTATACTCTGGAGGTCAGAACAAGTACGTCCAGCTCCAGAGGGTACTTGTA